GATTGGCACAGGACAGAGCAGAGTTTAGGGCTGTTGTACATAGGGTCACTATGAGTCGCAAGCGACTCGACAGCACATAACAACAACATATAAATAATATAGCTCCATCTTATCCCTATGGCAGTAACTTAAAATGAAGGCCACATTATCTCTATTTATGAGATGAGGAATCTAAGATCAGAGTAAGTGCCCCACATGGCAAAGCACAAGGATAAGTCCTCACTACACACCAGCTACATCCTGGTCCCCACAAAGCTCTACATTCCACTGTCAGCATAGTAACAAGGTCCTTCTCCTCTTTCATCCCTCAGTGGATTCTCGGCCTCATGTACATCAAGGTCTTTGCCATCTTCAGCTCAGGGAGGTGCCCACCTGCATGTCCACTTCATGCTTGATCATTTTGCCATCAGCCCACTTGAGAGCAGCCCGAGCCTCTCCTACAAGCACAAACACAGAGAGATGCATGATGCTCAAGAGGGCACTTCCCCACTAAACTCACCCCTAAGGAAAGGCCCTGGATGCCCACAAGAATCTGGGCCTGCCCTGATCAGGGCCACACACTTTTAGGCTGATCTTGCCTCTCTCCCAACCTCCTGACACTCCTGCTCAGAAGAGAAGACAGGACCTGAGAGGCTCTACTCACCCATCAGCAGCCCCATGTTGAAATGGTAACGTTCTGCCAAGAGCTGGGACTGATGCCGATTTATGACAGCCTCGACCTGCAGAAAAATCAGACTATGCGGTTTAGAAAAGTCCTATTCCAATCTAGGAGCCCACACTCTTCACCCAGCAGCCTCCAGAGCGGCGCAGCTGAGCTATTCATTCCCACCACCAGTCTTGGGAAAACATAGGATGAATAAAAACTCACTGCTTCCTCGATCTGCTCTGGGGTGACCACGACATTCACACCACATTCCCGCTCAAAATCTACTACGTCGACGGGATCCAAAGGGTGGCTCCGTACATACTCAAGAGCAGCTGAGAATGGAGTTGAATAAGTTGGTACTATCAACAAACGAATGGCTAGAGAAGCTGTGGTATATTCGCACAACGGAATACTATGCTGCATTAAAAAACAAGGAACCCATGCAATATTATTCAAAATGGTTGACTCTGGAGAACATTATGCTGAGTGAAATATCCCAGTCACAAAAGGACAAATATTACATGATGCCACTGTTGTAGGATGGGACTGTCCTTGGGGTTGGGGAGAGACTGAGTAAGATGGGTTCAATAATGTATACTGCACTGAAACAGAGGAGGGAGAAAACTGTTTAAAAGAGATATATAACTAGGTATTTCTGTCATCACAGGAGTCTAGAGCGAGGGCTACATGGTGGAGGGGACCTGGAGGAGGGTTTGTAAAACAATGAAAGAATCTTTTCTTTTACTTTTCCATAATTTTTGACTCATGTACTTATAACTTGTTAGTCAAATTTGTGTCCTCTAGGTTGCAACACCCCCATGATACATCTTCAAGGATATGAACATGTACGGCCAAGCACAATCAATAAGAGTGCATCTAAATTCCAAAATCAATCTCCATAATAGTCTATGTGTTTCCTACTGCCAAAGGGGCCCTTTAGAGTAGTGAGAGAAGATCTTCACTCTGAAACCCACAGCGTCCCTTTTCAGCAGGAAGTAGCTAAGAGAATACGCCATCCCCTTTTCCTTATGAATCAGGGTGAAGTCTCTCTCAGGGAGGAGTGATAGGGAATGGCAAAGGACACACTGACAAAGGAGATTAATCAGAACTGACTTTGACAAGCACTGTGGCAATTGGACAATTAAAACAGACATTTGGATGGTGGGGAAGAAGAACAAACTGGGGAGGAGGGTGGAGAGAATGGTGCAGCAATGAAGGAGTGAAAGCCCAGAATCCCTGTGAGTGTTCATTGAAACTAATAAAATTTACTAATAATTATAACAAAAAAACTCCAAGAAGAGGTTAACATGGCCCCAATTCCACAAAACCTCAACTACAGCTTGGTCTCCTGAGAGGTTAACCCTGGACCTTAACCTTCAAGCTCCCTACTCCAACGGCCTCCTCCACTCTCCCAGAGGCCACGCCCTGCCCCATCAGGCCAGTCCCTGCTTTATAATGAGAGAGTAGAACTAGTACCCAGAATGTCACAGGAGAGATTTGGCAAGAGGTAAAGACAGTGCATCCAGGTTGAGAAAAGGGGTTCGAAGGAAAACCGGCAGGAGAGGCTGGAGTCTCACCGCTCAGCTGGGTCTCGGTGTGGATCTTCTTACTGGTGATGTAACCCACGAGAAAAGGGAGGCGCCGAGCATCCTTGAGTCTGGAGGCCAAGCCATACAGCAGGGTCCCGGTAGCCCTGTCGATGGTGGAGCCCAGCGTCTGCTGCGCCTATGTTCAGAGGGGTCAGGAAGGAAGTCCTATGCTCAGTGAAAGCAGCGAGGACGACACGCTGCGCTGGGGTGGCCGGCAGCCTGGGCAGAGAAAGAGGTCCGTTACCTGGGTCGCCGCCTCGCGCAGCTGGGCGCTCAGAGCTGTGTTCTTGAGCGTCTCACGTGCCTTCTGTTCGCTCAGCCCGAGGCCGGTGAACAGCGAAAGGGAATCCGGAGTCGCCATCGCAGGACACCGGAAACCAAAAGAAAACTTTCAGGCCACTCTCAGAGTCGTCATTGCACCATTGACCAATAGGAAAGCGAAGCTACAGGTGAGAGCCAATAGGATGTCTCTTCTAGCAGGAGTAGGCGGGGCTCAACGTCGTTATCGCCATTAAAGAGACAGCAGCCGCCCGAACTTCCGCCTTTGTGGCCTGAGCCTCCTGAAAAAGTCACTGTGTGGGCGTCGGGGCAGAGAGAGAGATTGGCCGCCAACCTTGCTAGAAGGGTTCTAAGCACGTGTCACATTATGAGTTTCCAGTTTTCTCCTAAAGCCTTGGCAATCTCATTCCAGTATTGAGCTTGCGTAGCCAGAGTGACAGTGGATCCCTATAACGTTTTTGACGTAACAGTTTTGGGGTTATTAAGGAAACAGTACTGAAAAGCGAAGCCTCGTTGGTCCAGACTCCAGTGCTGGGAATGTGCTGATAGGCCAATTGAAAAGGCTCAGATTGGGGAGCTCTGGTAGCCTTGTGGCAAGAAGCTGCATTGCAATCCCAGAGACACAGGGTTTGAATCCACCAGATGCTCTGCCAGGGAAGGAGGGACAATCTCCTCCTGTACCAGTCAGATCTGATTTGACGGCACACACACACACACACAGACCCCAAAAATAAAAAAAAAGAAAAGGCTCAGTTGCGAATATTCTCGCTGTCCTGATTTTGTGATAATCAGGGCAGGCTAAACATTCGCTATATTAAGACCATGCATGTGTCCCCAGACCAAGGTCTTTCCCTGGGTCTGGTTTTAGAAATGCTGGTGATAAATAAAGTCTGATTAATTAGGATCATTGTGTTTCAGAAAGGTCTGAGGCTCTAAGTATCTTGATTTAATGATAAGACAAATGACACTATAGCTAGTGAAATAAATAACCAATGCTAAATTTGCAGGGTAAGCTAAAGTATATAATTAAGGGAGATTTTGTTTACTAGATGTCAGTGAAGGAATATATTAAAAAAAAAAAAAGAAAGGCTCAGATCACCACTGCCACAACCCTACTTCTCTCCAGACCAGAAAGGCTGGAAAGGGCACATCTTAGATGATGTTTTGATTTAAAATCTCTTGGCACATTTTACCTCTGTCTAAAATTTGAGGAAGGCTGCAAACCGTAAGTGCATCAGACATTAAAAGTAATCTGCAGCCTTTTTGTTGTTGTTGTTCTTAATCTGCAACCTTTTGAGATATTTTATCCATATCTGCACAGGGTCGTTTGCTGTCGGGTTGATTCTGACTCAGAGAACTTGTGTGATCAAGCAAACCTGTTCCATAGAGCTTCCTCAGCTGGAATCTTAAATAGAAGCAGATTACCAGCTCTTTCACTCACCAGAGTGTCTGAGGGGTTTAAAAACCACTAACTTTTCAATTAGCCCCTTACAGGCTGGTGGTTTTGTTTTTAGGTGCTGTCTAGTCAACTTATAGTAACCCTATGAACAATAAAGCAGAACCTTGCCCTATCCTGAGGCATCCTCACAATCTCCGATATTCTCCAGTCCGTTCTTAACAATCAACTGTGTCACTCTACCTTGAGGATCTTCCTTTCTCTGACTTTCCACTTTTCTTATCATGATGTCTTTTTCCAAGATCTAGTCCCTCCTGACAACATGCCCAAAGTATGTGAGATAAATTTTCACTATCCTTACCTCTAAGGAAGGAGTTGGCTGACACAGAAGAATTTCAAGAAACAACATTTGATCAAGAGGGAATGGTGATGACGAGGAAGTTCAGGCTGCTCTAAAGGACTTGGCAAAAAATAAAGCCCCAGGAATTGACAGAATACCAACTGACATATTTAAACAAACAGATGCTTCCTGGACGTGCTCACCAGATTGTGCCAAGAAATCTGGAGGACAACTATCTGGCCTACTGACTGAAAGAAATCCATACTTATTCCCATTACAAAAAAAGGTGACCCAACAGTATGAAAATTATCATACAATATAACTCATATCACACGCAAGCAAAATCTTGAAGATTATCCTGAAACGGCTGGAACAGTACATTGACAGAGATCTATCAGAAGTACAAACTGGGTTTGGAAGAGGCCATGGCACTAGAGACATTATCACCAATGTCAGATGGACCTTGGCAGAAAGCAAACAGTACCAAAGAGATACCTGTGTTGCATTGACTGTGGAAAGGCATTTTACTGTGTGCATCACAACAAATTGTGGTTAACCTTCAGGAGAATGGGAATCCCAAAACACTTGATTATGCTATGCAAAACCTATACTTGGACCAGGAAGCAGTCAGAACAGATCAGGGAAATACTACATGGTTCAAAATAAAAAAGGGAATGTCTCAGGGATGTATCCGGTCTCTATACCTTTTCAATCTATATGGAGAAAAGATCATTTGGGAAGCTGGGGTTTAGGAGGAAGAATGTGGCCTCAGGATTGGGGGAAGACTTGTCAACAAGCTACATTATGCAGATAACACAACCTTGCTTGCTGAAATTGAGGTGGACCTGAAGCACTGCAAGTCAAGGGATTATAGTCGTCATAATGGATTGAAACTCAACATCAAGAAGACAAAGATTCTCACTGCTGGACCAAATGGCAGCACCATTATGGACAACAGAAGAATTTATGCCTTTGAGTTATGGTGCTGGAGAAGAGTCTTGAACATAGCATGGAGCGTCAAGAAAACAAATAGGACTGTCTTGAAAAGGGTAAAATCAAATTTTTCCTTGGAGGCTAGGATTTTGAATCTCCATCTCACATACTTTGGGCATGTGTCCAGGAGGGACCAACCCTTGGATAAGACATTAATCTCAGAAGGATGCAGGGTCAGCACAGGAGAAAAAGATCCCAGATGAGATGGACTGATACTAGGGCAATGGGGGTAGGTATAGACGAATCAGACTGGCTCAGGATAGAACAGGCTTCAAAGGTGTTGTACATAGTGTTGCTCTGAGTTGCAGGCAACTCTGTGGCACATAACAACAACATGTAGGGAAGTGAGCTGGTAACAGGTAGCAGTTCAAATTCACCAGTGGCCCCAAAGGAGAAAGATAGACAGTCTCCTCTGCTATGAAATACAGGAAGATGTGTGGATGCAGCTGGTGTCTATTGGACCTAGCCACAGATGGCTAGGGATGAGTTGACCAGAACTCAAACAATGAAGAGAAGATATTTCTTTCTGTGAGCTAGTGTTGATTGCTGTAAACTGATGGTTTGTTCTGGACTGGATTTTTTTAAATTTTATTATTTGTGAGTGTGCGTGTACCCATCAAATCAGATCTGACTGGTACAGGAGGAGATTGTCCCTCCTTTCCCGGCAGAGCATCTGGTGGATTCGAACCGTGCTCCTCTGGGATTGCAGTGCAGCTTCTTGCCACTAGGCCACCAGAGCTCCCCTTGGACTGGATTTTGCTTATGGATACAAATGCTCAAAATTATGACCATAACAGAAGATTCTTCATGGAAAAGAACATGCTCATTTCATCAGAGTACTGGTTTGATGTTGTTGTTAGATGCCATTGAGTATGACTCAGAGTGACTCTGTGAACAACAGATTTGAACCTTATTCTATCCTTTTACAATCTCTGACAAACTCAAGCCTATTGCTGCAGTCACTATGTCAGTCTCCCTGATTGAGGGTCTCCCCCTCCTCTTCCTTTCTCTCTCCATCCCTCCACCTTCCCAAGCATGATGCCCCTCTCCAAAGAATAATCCCTCCTAGCAACATGCCCAAAATATGTGAGACAAAGTTTCATCATCTTTGCCCCCAAGGAACACTTTAGTTGCACTTTCTCCAAGATAAATCTGGTTTTTTTGGCAGTCCATTGGATAGATATTCAGCACTCTTCTCCAACCCCACAATTTAAAGGAATCAATTCTTCTGTCACAGACTGGTTTGACAAGGATGGATAAATCAGAAATTAAAATGTTGTTGTTGTTGTTGTTGTTATGTGCCATCGAGTCGCTTGCGAATATGGGAGATAAAATAAAAAGGCATTAAGTAGCTGGCTTACACTTTTCCATGAATTGGTTACTAGTAAGATGATTGTAACGAGAAAGTTAATATTTCAAATATGAAGGACAATGCTAGCAAAGTCAAGGGGTATTCTGCAGCATTTTTAATCTATTGCTCAAAATGGCTTTCCTAGGCCATCACACTTGACATGGCTTGGAGTGAACATCAAATAACATGTTAATTTATTCATGAGGGTATTGGTTAGTTTCATGTTCCTCAAGGTTTAAAATGATGTTCAGTGACAGAAATCTGGGAATTCCATTGCCAGCAAGAAAGAAGCAGACCCCGATTCTCAGGGTCAGAGATTTCTTCATCAGTCAGACGAGAGCCTGCAAGAGAGCAGTAGCCACAGCAAAAGACCAGAGACCTGATATGAGACACAGCAGACCTGGGACTGTTGCCTCAAGAGAGCCAGAGCCTGAGGATCTTCAACCAAGCTTGCTTGAAGACTAGGATGAGAATGACATAATTGGAAGGACTAAGAGAGCTTTGGACCCCTGGCCAAAAGCTGCAAGGCTGAAGGCTGAAAAGCCTGTGAGCAAGCTTCAGAAACTATCCTGAGAAACCCTATCTGTTCTGTTGCCAACCTGAAATGTAATCTGTTAACTTCCCTAATAAATGCCGTATCATGAGTATGTTTATGTTTGTGAGGTCTGTGTAGCTATTTAATGGATTTTGGATCCAGTAGGGCAGTAGGTTTATTGTTAGAATTAGTAGAGGAGTGAGAGCATGGCATATCTGACTTCATGGGAACTGGTTTTGTGTTATAAACATTGATGATGGGAAAAGTTCCCCCATATTGAGTTGGTGGAGGTCAGACTCAACTGTTCCCACATTGCTCTTGCTCTTCTACCTTTTGAAGCTATTGTATGAACAGAACAGGGGACACGGCATAGTTTAAAATCAGAAAAAGTATGTGTCAAGATTGTATCCTTTCTCCATACCTAGTCAACATGTATGCTGAACAAATTATTTTAAGAATATATGAAGAATATGGCATCAAGATT